ATTCCCTAAATGTATTTTCATTAATAGCAGCTCATTTAAGAGCTGCCCTTACTACTAGAAAGCACATAAAAAGAGATGATATGTAAGTTTTTTATTTGTTGGAAATGCTTTCCTCTCCTGCAATTTAAAAATTCAAAGGGCTTCAATAGAATAGTATTCTTAATCTGTATGGGGTGCGTTTTCAACCTTCCTGAAACATGCAATCTCTTACAGACTTTATTTTTCATGCTGTTTTCAAAGCAGGCCTTTTCCAGACCTAGTCACTAGTTTAAAGGGCATGTATGTTTTAGTGCAAAAACATTGACATAACATATCACAAAGTCATGAGTACAGAAAAAGCGAACCAATTTCTGTTCTCATTTCTGCTATTGCAGGTTCCAGTATTATAGGCCAGGTGGGACTATTGTGTGTTGTAGCCTATGTTAAGTAGATGGTCAGTCTAAGTGAATTTTTCTAAATTACCATGCTTTCATATGTGTGAAAAGGTATTATCTGTGCCTTAATTTAACAGTCTCCCCAAACAAGCTGATTTCCACAGCAATATTGCAAGTGAATGCATGAACGGTAGTAATAGAAGGGCAGCTGTACCACAAAGCCTTTTAGTAGTCCCCCTGCCTCTTACTGTTCCTAACTTGCCTCTTCTACTAGTTGTTGTTCCTTCCCTTCACCTCCTTTGTTTTGGTTTCCAATCTCTGACATAGTTGTCCAAAGACATATTTTCAAGTATCGATACTTTTCAAGTGATCCAGATTGCAAGCAGAAAATGTTATAATTCTCATTTGAATTATAATCTTTTTTGTATTTTCCATCTCTTACAACTTTTCTTGGGAGTTAATTCCCTCCTTAAAAGTATGTAATCTTAATTCTTCCTATGGGAGACTTTTTTCATTGACAGAGCTGAAAAATCACATTATATCTTTTGCAACAGTGGGAGGCAAGTCCAGTAACTTTGCTAGATCAGTACTGTAATTACGCCACAAACAAGAATATGTCCTTTTATGTATGCTAACTGGCTCAGAAAGAAATTTCTGTGCATCTTCTCCCCTGCCCTCCGTAACTTAAACATTTTTTTAGAGTGGTTGATGCTGGTGAGTCCTTTTAGATTTGCTAAATTGGTGTCCTTTCTACAGTGTTTACTTCTGACTTGTGTGAGAGCTAAACTTAGATTTGAGACATAGAAACCCAGTACAGCACCTTGTTTATTGAGATGAATTTCCTAGCAGGCTGTGCTCCATTTCTGTCCTCTCACTTGTAACGCAGGCAGTGTTGCTAAGGCTTATGTTCTGCCATAAGCTAGAGAGCTCATCAGCTGGAAAAGGGATTGGGCTAGGCGTCTGGTTGCCCATTGCCATGCAGGATCAAATTAATTGTAACTCAGTATGAAATGACCTTATGGTGTACTGAAGAAAAAGCAGAAAGAAAAGCATCAATGTCATTGTACAGGGCAGTGGTGAGACCTCCTCTATGATACCTGATATCATTCTGGTTAACGCTCTTCAGGCTCTAATAGATGTGTGGCAGATGGCTCCCAGGATGATTTAGGAGAATGGAGAGCTTGTCATATGGGAGGAAATTAAAAGGGTTTACATGTTTAGCCTAATTGTTTTACCAGGCCAGAGAAGAATATTTGTTATGTTCTTGAAAGTCCTGTGTTTCTCCTACACCAAGTGTTCTTAATTTTATGTCCGTTTGGAGCTCAAAATTAAGTTAGATCCATGTTACACTTGTTAAAACCAAAACAGGCGAAGACCTTGGCGTCTCTGTTGGCACCACAGCTGTTTATAGTAAGAGTTGATTTCACAGTATTTGGCAGTGCAGGAGACACTAGCAACGTGTCTCCTGTTCTCCTTTATTAATGGAGAAAGAATACAGGGAAGATTTTTTCTGGAAAGGGGCATGTCTTGATGAACTAACATGGTAAGTGTTTTTGCTGATCTGACACATTTAGCATTACATGTCTGAAAAGCATAGTTTTGTGTTTTCAGACGATATTTTTACAACTCTGCAGAAGACCTTTCCAGCATTGGTTTTTGGACAAAAGTCTTGGATATAGATAGCTCCCACTGCAATCTATGGAAGCTATACATAGTTTTTGGGGGAAGAGCAGACAGAAGGTGGGGTTCTCCCAAAGATTCCTCCAAATAGGATCCCGGTTCATTAAGTACCTTTGTCAGAAAGGAACAGCCTCTTCAATCGATCAGAACTGGGTTGCTCTCCATTGTAAAAGATTTTTTATGATCTAATAACCTTGCCCAAAGTACAAAGACTTGGAGATTTTCTTTATTACTAACTGGGTGTAGCAATGCCTTCAATATGCAAAAAAATTTCTTCTGTTATGTCCAGTGGATTTTGCATATAGACAATGAATATTGCATTGACTCTGCAATTTCAACAGACAGATACCAACAGGTAGGATGGGTCAGATTAATGCACGTGATAAGAAGAAGAACTCAGTTTTCCAGTTTCATTTGTTTAGTAAATGGTCTTGTATGTGTATGAGCTGAAAGAAGGAGGAACCTAGAAATGAGAGAGTAGGGGAAGAGAATATTAGTTTGCACAAAGTTCTCTCTCCGTGTGAGAAGACGGAGCAAGAGAGTGTTGGTTTTTGATATCCATAAAAGAAAAATAACTTTGTAGTGAAATTGCAGACTGAAGCATTGTCTTCACAAGGAACGTGTCTACAGAGGTCAGAAGATCATGGTAGTTAAAAAATTATTATGTGGGAGAAGATGGCTTGTTTTCACATCTCATGAGGGACTGACTGTAACATCCAGGTCTCACTGAGGGTGAAGTCTTTTATTTCTTGAAAAAAAAAAAAAAAAACTTAAGGAAAATACCAATGTACAACTGAACCCTCCCAGGAGTTTCTCCTCTTTGATCTCTGCATCAAAGTCTCCTGTGAGAGCCTGTCTCCTTTCTGTTGCTTCTTTCCGTCTGGTCTAGGGACCCTCTTGACCGCTTCCCTGCAGAGCCTGATAATTGTATTGTCTCACTCGTGAGCCTTAAATGGTCTTGTGCAGAAGAACGCTGGTTGTCCCTGTGCTGACTTTTAAATCTTTGAGAAAAACATGATTTTCTTCCTAGAGTTAGCTGCCGTTCAGATAAACTGGGTTAGTATCCTTTCTGACAGATTTTGTTCTAGTTTTAAAATATATGGTTTGGAAGGAAACAAGCCCGAGGGATTTTTTGTATTAGAAGTAAATATTTATAAATCTTTTCAAATATCATGCTAATACCAGTACTAACTCTTGGAATTGTTTAGCAAACTGAAGAAAATACTGTCTTAAAAGCCACTTTCCATGCTTCCTATTGAGGAAGGCCACTTGGATTTTATTTTTTTATTCTTGGTTGAAACTGCGGTGAGAAGTGTGTTCTCAGAGGAAGGATCTTTCTGAAATACTGTCAACTGAAAAACCCTTATGCTGCCTGAAGAGCCATTTTCTTTGAGAAAGTGAGAGTCCATTTTGAACAAAGTCCACAGGGCAGGAATTCACAGAGCAAAGTCTGCCTCACTCTGGGAAAGTTGGATGTTTGACCAGATTTAACTGCCCTGAACCCATTATGCTTGAATTACTTGTAGAGAATAACATGTTTGTGTACAGTAAATGCCTGTAAAAATACCATGGCAATAATCAAAGGTACTGTGTCTGTTAGGAAAAAAATGCAAGCTCTTTAGGAGATAGAGAGGAAAGACAAGGAGGCAGGAAAAAGGACAAAGTTGCTGCATATTGCGGTGTTCTCTTTTGTGACTTTTATTTTCTAAGGGTATGATGAAGGGAATGTGAAAGTAGAGCCTGGTGCGTAGGGGAAGACAGAGCTGTTTTCCCTCCTCATTCCTGAGACCTATAACAGCTATTCTAATAGTTATTTTGTGTTTCTTCTTACAAATGGGGCCATTGCTGAGCTGCCAGATCTCTTACTGTGTGAGATGACACATTAATACTGAGCTTACTGGGGCAGGTTCTTTAGTTTTGTGCAGATTGTTTTCCTTGAAGACAAAGCAACAAGATCTCTTTGTACTTTCAGTTCTCCTTTGGGATTATTTTTTGTAAGAGGAGAAGCTGGAAGAGCATCTTCTTGGACCCTGTCAGAGATGCTTTTGATGGCATTCCAGAGGAGAGCGTTGCTGTCGAGAGTATGAAGACAAGTTCTTCAGCTCTGTGTCACTTTTTGTTCTGCCTTGGGACCAGAAGGTCCTGCTTTACTTCAGATCCTCTGCTAGTCATCAGTGTAATCTCTATCGGTACCACCACAGGCAGGGTGGAGATATCCTGAAAGAAGGATGTGCCCAAATGTAGAGAGCAGGTGGAAGGGACTAGAAATAGAAATAAAGCAAGAAATAAAGAAAAGGAAATACAGCTTATTCCTCTCCCTAATTCAATTTTGTTATCACTGCCTAATGTTTTTTTAGTGTAGAAGGATTTTTTATGTAATATGGGTTCAATCCTTTGTTTGTTTTTGAAATCCTGTGGTTTTAAGAAACATACCATCTTAACTTGCCAGCTCTAGTAATTAATTCTCAGAATTAACCACAATCTAACACTTTCAGTTTTTGTTCTCAGCAAGTTACTCTGCAGTTTTGGCCAACTTTCATCCCCGCAGCGTGCTGATTCTTGAGAAGCAGCAAGGGCTTACCTCTCCCTTTCTTACGTTTTCCAAATTGCAAATAAACCCGACTTGTCCAGCCAATTTTCTTGTTTCTTCTTCTTCAGCTCTTACTCCTTGCCAGGAAAAGCCCTAATTCAAGCTCCTCTTTAAGTTCCCTAAACAGATGGCTCTTACGTGGGGTAAAGGTTCTGACCTGCCTTATATTTGAGGATTGATTCACCTGCAAATGAATCTGTCCTCCTGCCCGCCTGCCAGAATTGCTCGTCCCGTGGCTGGTAACCGCATGAAAACCTTGCCTACATTCCTAGCTGCTTGCTCCTGTCTGCAAACCTGGGCAAGCACCTTCATCAATTCCAAGTGTTGTTCACCTTATATCACCCCTCTGGGCTCACCTCCCGTCGGTCGGGAATCTTAGTTATGTGCAAGTCAGGGAGGACCAATAACAAATGGCAAACTCCTAAGTTACTGCTTTCGCAGATAACATTGTCTTTGTATCAGTGTGAGTGAAATCCAAATGTTGTGAGGTTTTTTTGTTTTTTAAATAATGTCATTCGTCTTTGTATCAAAATTCTAAGCTCATAGATGGCAAGTTTAGGATCTCAGGGCTAATATGTAGGTCTATAAACTTTTGAAATTGAAATGTTTCAGATAAGAGATTTTTCTTTGCAAACCAAGTCGTTTTGCTAGTTACTGATTTATACAGGATGCCGAATTTGCACACTGCTTCAGATTAAAAGGCATATTTCAGATCCCACAACTGAAAATAAGTGATTGTTCTACAACTTCTGCGAGAGAGGAATTGATTGAGTAGAGGTGGAGTAGGAACATTGCCAGCAATCTGCTCTTGTTTGAAAAACTAACCAATTAAGAAATACTGGGGGGTGGGGAGAGGGAGAAATCTGTTTCAAATTTCAGAAATCTTACTCTGGACATTCTCAGGAAATACCTTTTATTTTCTGCAGTTTTACTATAAACATCAAGATGGGTAGTAAAACAGTTACTTATTTAGTAAAATACTGACCTGTTGTATCAGCAGATACTTTCTCTGTGTAAGCACCAGGTGGCATTGTGACTGTGATTATGAGCAGAAGTTAATATTTTCCATTTCAGTTTTATAAATCTCACCTTATATCAAGATTACTACAGATGTCTTTTCTGCAGCACAGTTTTGGGGTCTGCTTATCAAAAACCATCTGTTTGGTTAAAGTTTAGCTGACGGTTTACCCTTTTTGCTACTTGAAGATAAAGATTCTTTTTAGAAATTTTGAGTAAATCCTGAGGTTTATAATAACAGTTTTATCATCCAGTATATCCATGCTATTCTCTGTTTAAAGAATCTTTTATTTTCTCTCTCTCTCTCTCTCTCTCTCTCTCTCATATCCCTGGTACAACTTAGCGTTCTCAATGTCAGCCCCTGCTTGAGCAAAATTCTTGTGAGCCTGATCTTGCATGTTTTTATAACTTACTGTTCTTAAGAATCGTGTAAAAATGAATATCCTGAATTGTTATTTTTAATATAATTGTATTTTCCAAAAAATATTGCAAAGAACATTTCCATAGACTGAGATTTTTTTAAAAGTCCTTCCTGGTGCTGCTGTTTACAAGTAATATTTTCCATGGTTTTTGTCTAGGTCCTGTCTGCAGTATATGCGTATCATCTTTTGGAGCACGACCAGTAGCAATCTTCAGTGGCTTTATGGTGGCTGGAGGCCTCATGATGAGTAGTTTTGCACCTAATATATACTTTCTGTATCTTTCATATGGGATCGTTGTTGGTAAGAAGCATCTCCTCTTCATACAGAGACTTCATCTGTATTATGTTGAGTCCTGGTTTATGAATCTGGAAAAGGAAGCTGTTTCACAGACACAGTAATAGACTCGAGTTATCAAGGAATATCTAACTTCTGTTGGGGAGGCGCAGGCAGACTTTTACAGTATAGTGAAAGATAAAGGCTATGCTTATGTTTGTCAGTGTTTGAAAACAGTTTGTCCTCTGTTGACATTGATGGTTCTTTGAGATGAACTGAGATTTAATCAAGCGGGTCTTCTGCAGCCATGAAGTGCTAATCTTAAAGGAATAAAATATCTTAAGGAATGTTGTCATGTACTCATTCTAATTTGATAAATTGGAGATCATTAAGGAGAGGTGTTGTTCCTAACTGGATTGAACTGAAAACACTGTGCTAAAAGCATGAAAATGCTGTTTTCCAAGTAGGTGGTGACCTGCCTCTCTGTTCTGCACTTGGCTGCTGTGGGTGGTTTAAAGGCTGCAATTAACTGACTCAGGAATCCGGACACCTCGCGGGCCGGCAAGGACCCAGCAGTGTGTGTTAACTCGGGCACGGTGCCATATGGGTGCAGCTGTACTGTTTTCCAGGGCCAACCCTTGGACAGAAAGCTGTATAACTGCTTTCACATAGCACAGAGCCTGAGCTAGTGAAGTCTTCAAACCCGAGCCAGCTCCGCACAGATTCTGAGACTGGGAATAGTCAGAGGGAGAAAGGTGGGACAGCGCAGGCTGGGGTACAACACTGTCTTATCTGGGGAATAAATGGGGGCATTCGTTTCCCAGAGTGCGTTGCACATTTTATTCCTAACTTGTTTTTTTAAGGGCTTGGATGCGGCCTTTTATATACCGCAACAGTTACCATCACTTGCCACTATTTTGACAAACGCAGAGGCCTTGCGCTTGGTCTGATTTCAACAGGTATGGTTTTTAATTTTCAATCATCTTTAACTTTTCAAGTGTGACAGATGCAGCTATCATTACCTTGACAGTAAAAATCAGGTGGTTATGTTTTTCTCAGGTACTTCTCAAAGTCCTTCTAAAGTCAAAACATCAGTAGCAATGAACGTATGCCAGCAGGCTTCAGATAAAATAGTAACTGCATTTTCAGGTGTATAGTGCGAGTTATCCATATAGACGAGAAAAGGAAATGCACCAAAATGAAAGCGGGTTCATCAGTAGTGTGGGCTGCATGCAGGCCTGTGTAATACCGGGGGAAACCTGCCACAGAGCCCTATTCTCCCTCTTCTAATTCAGGCAAGGTCAGAGGTGAGAGAGAGACCAAAAACACACAGGTATGAATCCTGGATTGTCATAATCCCATATTAGTTGTGTTTTTCAAGTAGTAGTTGAATTTCGGGCTTGCCTTTTTTATTTCCTATATAAAAGGAGACTGAAGTCTGAAATCTTAGGTTGCATGCTGTCTTTTACACAGAGAGGAACTGCTAACTTAAGCATGTTGTGCCATGCCTGGCTTTCTGTGTTATGTGCTCTCTCTCTCTGATCGCTTTTCTGAAGTTGCTATTAGCGAAGAGAGTTCTGGTCAGTACAGTCGGTGCTTCAAGATATCAATGCCCGATCCACCCTAGTGGAATAAAGGGGGATTTCTGCCAAAGTGTTCCTTGGAATCATTTTCAGTGACTTTTACTGAGATTGCAGGTAGTCTTCCTTAAGGGCTGATCTTACCGAGCCGTAGTCCGTTTTAGTACATGGAAGACAAAAAAAGCCTGAATTTTAAAATTATTTTTCTCTGCATTTAGTGCTCAAGTATATAGATGGTTTTAATAAAACCTAGGAACAGTCTTCAGCAAATCATTTTGCATTGAAGTTTGTCTTTAAATTGGTTTGAAAAACCAATGCTCTGTATTCATAAGTGGAAATCTGACGATTACAATGGGCCTATGCTCACTTTAGCCACGAGCTTTTTCTTTAGAACGTTAGGACTGCGTAAAATGCCTCTGTCTGTAGTAATTACTTACTCTCCAGTATTTACTTTTAAACAGCCATATTTCTTAAATGCACCCTCCTTAAATCAGCTCCTTAAGCCATGGGCTGTTTCTAGCAGGGCTTTTGGCTAACCTCTCGTCTGTTCCTGCCTTAGAGGAGGAAGATGGCAGGGAGGAGGAGAAAGGAGGAGATGTTCATATGTAAAATTCTAACTGTACTAACTTGAAATGGCACCTGAAGGGATATATCTAAGTATGTGCATGGCAGAGGGATGGCTTAATAGTTTGACATTTTAAATCAGATATAGTATTGGTCCTACTTATTTCTGCAGTGTCTGCTAGTGTTAATCACCATAAATTGTTCTGGTCTTTTTAAAAGCTTTTTATTTTGTACATACTCAGTAAAGAAAATATAACATCAAGAGTGACGATAACTTACCAGTTCATTACATTGGAGAAAAGGGAGCATGAAATCACTTACAATCCCTGTGAGAGTATGTTTTGCAGTTGCTGAAATGTTAAAGCTTGTTATTGGTGAGTGAAGTTCTCAGCTCTTCTGATTAAACTGATCTTATTTTCCTTTTATAGGCTCAAGTGTTGGGCTCTTTATATATGCAGCATTGCAAAGAGAGCTTATTGATCTATACGGACTGGATGGCTGTCTGCTTATAGTTGGCGCACTATCTTTAAATATATTAGCGTGTGGCAGTCTGATGAGACCACTGGAGTCATCTGATTCCCCTTCACCAGAGAAAGTATGCGTAGATAAGGTCCCAGATCAATATTTTGTTTACCATGAAAAAGAAAAGACTGTTGAAGAAAATATAAGCATCCTTGAAAAGGGCTACATTGATGAAAAGTGTGCAAACAATATACCTGATTACAAACAGGATAGCATTTTAAATAAGAATGTGTTGACCTCAATAAATGTAAATGAGAAAGACACTTACAAAAAGAAAGTTGTAGAACAGACAAACTTCTGCAAGCAACTGGCCAAAAGGAAGTGGCAGCTCTATCTGAACTACTGGAAGGATACCGTGGTTCTTTTTAAGAACAAAGTATTTTCAGCTCTCTTTGTTGCCATCTTGCTCTTTGACATCGGTGGATTTCCTCCTTCACTGCTTATGGAAGATGTAGCAAGAAGCGCGAACATTAGTGAAGAAGACTATCATATGCCCCTTATTTCCATTATAGGCATCATGACTGCTGTTGGCAAACTTATTTTAGGAATACTGGCAGATTTTAAGTGGGTCAATACTTTATACCTATATGTATCTACCTTAATAATGACTGGAGTGGCCTTGTTTGCAATTCCATTTGCCAAAAGTTACCTTACATTAGCAATGCTTTCTGGGATTTTGGGTTTTCTGACTGGAAACTGGTCAATTTTTCCATATGTAACAACAAAGACTGTAGGAATTGAGAAACTGACACATGCATACGGGATATTAATGTTCTTTGCTGGACTTGGAAATAGCCTTGGACCACCAATTGTAGGTAAGTTCAAGTTAGATATTATAAAATTCCAATGAGCTTGTCAGGACCAGACAATTAAGCTGCATGCAAGTAGTTTGAATTGGTCCTAATAACAATGGAAAGATGAAATCAAAATCTTAGAAAAGATTGCTTTTCTTGAGCTGGGCAAGCTGATTGTGTTCTGTTTTCTTTTTTTGATGAAAAGTACGTTTCACGTCTAAGTCTACAAAGTACCTTTTAGATTTGGCCTTGCATTTTCGTGGTGTTTCTCTACCTTACAATGCTGTGTTACGTTTAACTCTTTGCTGATGCTCTTCTCTTTTATTTTCACCCTGCAGGTTGGTTTTACGACTGGACACAGGAATATGACACTGCATTCTATTTCAGTGGCTTTTGTGTTTTACTTGGTGGATTTCTTTTGCTGTTGGCAGCATTACCCTGCTGGAATGCCTGTACCAATCAGAGCTCAAAGCTGCCTCCAAACACTTACTCCTACAAAGTTGCATCTAGTGCTTAGATGACAACCGGAAAACACTTCATACTTTTTTATATTATGTAACAAAATATTTTAGTAATTTTCCACTTATTTATGAAGTCCAAAAATCCTCTTCCACTAGAACAATTCCATTGTTGCTTGATGTTCCATTTCCCTTTTTTTTTTTTTTTTTTTTAAAGAACAGTCTTATTTTGTCTACTCTGCACTGTGTTTTCAGCCTTTGTCTACTGTAGTTTCCTTTCACCCTTTAATGGGTGTATTCTGCTGTATTATCAGCTGTATATTTTTTAGGGGGAGGGAGGGGGACAAGACTTTGAAACAAAAGTAAAGGCCTGGTCCTTATAGGAGAAGGATGACATTATTGTCACCTTTCATAGGTCTCTAAGTTGCACAATCATACTTTACAAAGCAACAATTTGCCTTATTAGAATGTAATACTGTGATGAGGTGCTTATAATATCATGCTTAGGTTAACTTTTTTCTTTTTTTAAAGTTTCTCCAATTTAAAATGAAGTGCCAATGGACGGGGGGGAAGAAGAGGGGGAACAAAACCAACCTTATGTGACATAACTGAAGTGAACTTTATGATGAAAGTAAAGATTCTTACTACCACTGAAACGAAGAGATTTGTTTATAAGTATTGCACATTTTGTGAAGTCTGTTTATAAAACTGTTGAACCAAAAATCTTTTAAGCCAAGGAATAAACATGATTGTTGAAACCATGTAAAGAAATGCTTACTTGGTTATGCAAGTTCATGATCTTCAGATTAGAGCTGGAAGTCTCCCATTACAGACGCTTGCAGAAGCCCACGGGTGGGTGACTTAGGAACACCCTAAGCATTTGCAAGTCACCGACAGGCTGACAGTGGTGTGGGGCCTCTGTTGTTGCTCAGCTCCAGTTCGGTAGGTTGGACTTGTTGAGAAGAACTTGTGCTTAATAGTAGAGATATCAACAAGGTAGATTTGATTTTAAAAAGGAATAAAATGACAGCAGTGCTATCTTGGCTCTGTCATTTTTTTGAAATGGACATAGCTAGGAGAGAAATTAGGAAAGCAAACAAGGAAGTGGTGGGGAGGGAAGGGATAACTGAGGAGATGAAGGGTGAAGCTGAATGGAAAGAGTTCCAATGCTCAAACGCCGAACAGGCGAATAAAAAGAAGTGCCTGAAACTCACTGCCCAGATACTCTCTAGCTACAGTACAGCTCTGTGTGTGCTGGGTTTTTTCTTTTGTTTTCCAAGGCCCAGAGCTGGAGAGACTGACAGGAACCCCTTGTGAGCTAGGGGTCTTCCCTGAAGCTTGCTGCTTCTGCGGCTGCTCCCATGCCACAGAGTTGTCTGGTTTCTCTTGCATAGTAGTCACAGAAATCTTCCATCTACCTGATGCATGTCCTGAGCACTATGACTTTTTGCTGTAGGTTTAAAGCTTACTGAAGCATGTTGGGAAGTCTTGTATGAGGTGGAAGTCCATTGACTTTTCAGAGTTAGGTACTGGATGGTTGGCTGCAAATGCCCGAGTAGTTCTCAGCGTTGCTATGTTCCTCAAATGTCCACTGTGATTCTAGGTCATAAATACTCCATAAGATGAAAACGGGCATTTAACTGAGCCACCTTTATTGTCAAAGGCTATGCACTGAGTTGCTGTATTTGCGCATCTCTTAATGGGGCAGACATAGGTGCAAGTAATGTTCCCTCTCCTGATTGAAGGCAGGAAAGTCTAGCTTGGCTTCAGCCAGCTTCTGCTCGTTTTCTGGGATTCACTTCTTTTAGTTTATATTAAAACTTGACAAAAATAAAGATGCAGTTAGTTTGGCTCTTTGTTTTTTTCCTCCATTTGTCAGCTGGGTGTAACTATTGTGTGTTTTCTTCCTGGATTGCTTACCCAATGTATGTGGAAAAAATCTTGTGTAGGGCATTCCATTTATACATAAGTGCAACTCCAGTTCCAAACTGGTGTCCTGGATATCTTGGATATCTGATGTGGATTTGTACCGCTAATATATATGCTGTATGGCAGCTGAAATCAGTGTTCACTGCGTGCATCTGAAAATAGTGCCATGTGTGTTACACATCTGAAAGAAACGGCAGTGGTATATTGTACATAATCAGGATATGTGTGCATTCGGATGAATATCTTTCAATGTTTTCCACTTCCTGCTAACTCTACGTTCCCAGTACTTTAAATATGAAGCTAACGTTATTTTACTTGTCGGTCTGTTTGAAAAAAATCCAGCTAGAGTTAATGTTAGTGACTGCGCAATATATAACACACTTTGCAATGGAAATGGAGTCTATTATTAGGCAGCTTGATATGTTTGGAAATATGACTAGTGATCTGTGATATTTTCCTGATGTAACCTCACTCATTAGTGAGGGGAGAGCTTGGGCTGTTGGAGAATTTTACGTTGCCATTGCAGTCAGCACGTATAAGGACTCCTAGTCCTGACCAGTTGGTTCAACGTTGTGACCATACTAGTCTTGACTTCGTTTGATTAAACAGACCTAGGACATACTGTTCCAGTTCTTGTTTTTGCTTCTCGGGTTTTAGGGATTCCTTTTCAAGAGAAGGTTGCCATAGATGCTACAACTTGACAGTAACTCAGTGTTATTCCCCACAATTTGTAAGGTATTTGACAGCGAGGAGTTCTTGGATGTTTGGGATTATATCAATTTGCCAAGTTTAAATAATTTCTATTCTTTCCTATGACCATCTTTGGATGGTCGTAGATATTTTGCAGCTAGGAAAAGAAAGCAGTTCAACTGTAAAAAGAAAGCAGTTCAACTGTAAAAGTTGCTGTGGCAGTGGTGAGTTACTGCGAGTGTGTAGACAGTATTGGAGCTGGAAAACTTTGAAGAAACAAGAACTGGGGAAAAAATGCCACTTGATTTTCTGACGTGTCTGTCTTGTGTTCCCAGCCCCTGTCTGATCTCTGTGACGGTTGGCAAGACTTTGGGTGCTACAGGTAGCTGCGAGGTGAGCAGGGATTCATAGGCTAGATGCCAGCAAAGAGGATACAGTGACCAAGTTGATCTGCTGTTCTATCAATGGGGCATTCATTTTGGTCTCCCCTCTACTCAGCCACTGCTTTTCAAAAATTCTATTCATACAGGTTTTATCTGAGAGTTTTCTCTTTTTCTGTCTAGCAGGCTTTGTTCAAGCTGTCCAGTAGGTTCAAATGTTTTTTGTAAAGGGCACAAGGGAGGTACAATATGATTATCTATGCCTCGTTTATTTGAAAGCTAGGTTATAAACATTGATAGGTTGGTAGAGGTAGGTGGATATACAGTTCTACCCTGCAAAATTAAATTCTGCATCCTCTGTTGAGTTTTATAGTCCCTGACAAACAGACCTAGAACAGAAGAAATGGGATACTTAGGTAATTATGCTATATTGCAGAATAAACAGTTTACTGCTGTTGTTGTATAAACTAATTAGCTACTGTGGAGTCAGTCAAAAAGAGAACATTTATTTTCTTATTGGCAGATGCTAAGAAAATGTATAGTTGTTACGAAGACACAAGACATATCAAACTGCTAAGTTTTGTTAGATTTAAAGGTTCTTTTCTGTGCCTTGCTGAATTGGTGATCTTGATGATGTGTTGCAAAAATGAAATGTATTCCTTTGATAGCCATTACTGTGCCTACATTAAATTGATACTGGATTACAGCATCACATATTGGCATTGAACGGTGTGCTAAATAAGGGCTACAGATCATATGCAGTATGAATCGGTTGAGATGTTTGCATAACATTATACTGACATTCTAATATTTTTGATTTGAAAGCTATTTTAGTTAAGGCTCTTCAGAAGGGCAAGTCTGGTGAATATGTCAGGCTGAGTATGATACTAGTCAGATTAGAAATGTCGAAAGATAAATGATATAGATATTGTATAGATACGCAAAATAAAATGGCAAAAACTTCTTTCTAGCATGAAATAAATTCCTCAGATTCAAAGGACTATTTCAGTAATATTATGCTCTAGACTGGAATAATTATGCTAAAGAGCCAAATCGAAGACTTCTCATTCTTCTTACCAGAGGTAGTCTTTAGAAACATGTCATTATGTTCTCTACTTACCAAATTCTGTATTGCTTTTTATGTTTTTTTGAAGAAAGACACGTCTGCTTTTAAAAAATATGATGCTTTAACAGTTCTCAGAAGCTCATTTTGTACGATGCTCTGTCATGTAAGGGTTTTGGTGCATGAATTAAATGAGCTGGCGATTTAAAGCTTCTATAAATAGCTGTCTATTTCTGGCTTGTTGTCACTGTCATAACTCTATTGGGAAGACTTGACTCTTTTCTTTTATGCCCTCATTGTAAGGCCTAACATTTTGTGCAATAGCTTCTCATGTTATTTTTATTTTTTGTGTCCATATTTTGTTGGAACAAAACGGCTGGTCGGGTTTAGCTGCCTTGGTTTGATTTGTGCGGTATTTGCTTGCTTGTTTCTTTCTTGTTGATACTAAATTATCACATCTGTTCAAATTCATTTTATCAGACCTGAAGTTTCATGCTGCCAGAACCTAAAGGCCAGGTTGTCCAAAATGAGCAACTTACTGAAATTCTGGGTCAGAGCTATAGAACTGAAATCCACATGACTGGTATGAATGCAGATCTCTCAACTTTTCTGCCTGCAGATGCTCAAAACTTCTTTTAATGAGGAGCAGGAGTCTTGTGCACTTGTGATAAGGAAGAGTGAAGATAGGACAAATCTTTTGACTCCAGGGTCTCACCGCTGTGCTTTTCCCTCCCTGGATTGCCTGTGTGTAAGGTGCAGCTTTTTTGATGCAGTTTTATGAGCTATCATAAGGTGAGACTTAGAAGACTTGCATGCCTCAAGCATGAGATTTAACATGCTTGCCCCTCCAGTCTCCTCACTTAGAGTGCAACCAGGAGTAACATGCAATGTTCATTCGTGGAACATGTATCTCAGGAGTCTTCAGGGAAGCATCTATCTGCCTGTGGCTTGCTGAGTCGCCGCGCCTGTACGGAGGGAGAAAAGTACAGTGAGTTACTCAGACCATAGATCCAGTTATGTTTTCTGCAGTGGAAGTGCTTGTTTAAGGCATCCAAACAGTGCATCATTTTTGGTGGGTGCCATGTTGTAAACCTGCTCAGGGTACCCCTGGAAATGCTTCTTTTTAGTAACCCAGATCAGCTTGTTGTTTTTACAGTACGGGCTCACATGTAACTGCTGGCACAGCAGCTGGGGCGCGCTGCAGCGCAAGGGTGGGAACGAGCACTGGAGCAATTCCTTTGTAAGCTGCCCTTGCGGTCATAGCCCCTGTGCAGTGAGGCTGCAGCCTCTAGTGTTCACAGCTGCCTTTGGCTCCAAGTTTATTCTTACTAGGTCATAGTTAAACTTACAAAAACATTTTCTTTTAGTTCAAATTAATGTTTTTTTTTCCTTCCTGTTTCCTCTTATGGCAAGCTGACAGTCACCTGACTAAACTCTCCTACCTCCTTTCCTAGAGTCACAGCTCATGCTGAAATGTAAATATGCTTTCTATCATTGACAGCAATAACTAGGAGATATCACTGAGTAACAAGATGAATACCTACCTACCAATTTTGTAAATGGGCAATGCTCTAACCAGCGCTATATTTACAGTGATGTGATTTTTTTTGTGGTTATAACTTTACAATTTGATACATAACATGTATATCAAGTTGCACTAAGTCATGATGGGTTCTGTTGGAATCAAATTACTGTTTAATTAAAATGTTGCTGGGTCAGAGTGGCTGTCATCCTGCTTTGCATTAATTAGGGGGCCATCCTTGCAAATCAGGATAACTGAAATCTGCTGGCATGTCTTGAATTACAATAAATATCTGAGGGCAAGTGTACATAAAATGCTTCAATTAATATTTTATTTAAATAAAACAGAGTTACATAGAGATGATCTCAGGGAATAAGGGACCAAAAAAATACATTTATGAGACTGAGCTTGACAATCTGGTATTTCCCTAGGTACTGAGGAATCAATCTCAATGGTAGGAAAGAAAATTAAATAGTCACTGTTTTGTGTTTGTGGATGACCATTTTAGCTGCCGAAGAGCTTCCTGGAAGAGAGAGATGGGGAAAAGGGAATTCCTGTTGAGCACACCATGTACCTTGTTTCTTCAGAAATCTGAAACTTGAAGTTGCATATGACAGAGTGAATTACTGAAAATCAGGGGGTTTCATCATCTTACCTCGAATTGGAAAGCTTAATGGAACTGCTGCTACTGTCTTGAGTTTCTCTGCAGGGAAGATGTCACTTTGGAGGGTCTTCCTTCTTGAATTGTCTTCAATTTCACTCAAGAACAGTATCGCATGACTGTGGAAGACAGGTTTATTGAAGTTAATAGGAGCAACTAATTTGAAACAATGTGAATCAGTAAGAACTGAAGGAACTGAAATGCTAAGTCATTTGAAAAATACAGATTAAAAACTCCCCTCTGCCTCACTTTTACATGGGCTGGGGAGATGTCCATGGCACAAGAGGATGCCAGAGTTTCTGCTTCTCATATTCCTCCCTTTTTTTTTTTTTTTTTAATCACTCTCCTCTCCCTCCCACAAAGATGCTACACAAACTAGGGGCAGATAGCAGGAGAGGACTAACCATATATTGTTTCTTTCCAGCTTTTCAAAGATTTCTTCAAAGAGGTGGTAATGCGTTGGAACTATATTACTTATGCAGAATGGCAGGGTACGGTGTCACAGATGTAGTTGCTCCAGCTAGAGATTTTGTAACCCATGAGCAGCCTGGAGCTGAAGTTGGAAGCCGAGTTTCCCATCGGCCCTGGGAAGCTGTCACAAACCGGTGACCAGCTTGTGGATGGAGCCTCAGTGCTGCACTGAGACAAGAACCCTATGGGTTGGTTTTGGTGGGTCTATCTTCCTGTGAGGATAATGGGTGCTGCAGAAACTGGAGTGGAAGCTGTAGTTTCTGGTAAGACTCCAATTCAAATTCCCAATAATAATGAGCAGATAGGGAACAAAGCATGATTATGAAAATTTTGTTTTGCTGTGGTTTTTGTTTTTCAGCTTTCTGTTCCTTGAAGAAATAAACCCGGGATCAGCCAAACTGAAGGCAAATTATGTTTAGTTTATGCAATTGCAATGTATATAAATATTAACTTCTAGCCTGTTGTCAACAGACAACAAAACTGTTATTTTATGTAATTGAGTGCTAAGTTTTTCTACCACAGCTGCCAAAAGGAAAGGGAAATCAATGTTCCCAGCTTTTTTCAGAAGAAGTTCTCCCTAGAGTGTCTTGTTCAGTAGGTAATCCTGATAGTTCATGCTTCAAATGCATTCTAGTCCTCTGGCAGTCTACATGCCCAGAATATAGACTGTGTGATTCTGCCTCATTTTATAGTCAGAGTCAAGAATTTCCCAAGCAAATTTGAGCTTTCCTAAGCACTGTGACCTAGCACCCACTTTGAGTTGGAAGAGATATTGCTTAAGATAAGCAAATGGACAATTTTTGTGATCTCTGTCTTTCAGAATGAGGAAGGATGATGCAACCACCGCCAAATGGCAGGGAAATTTTACATGGAAAGAAGGATAAATTATCTTCTGTCACAAATGCAGCTTCTCAGCCCAAACCCGTAGTCCAGTCACTTCCAAATTTTTTCTGTGTGAACTGCACCAAGCAGCAGACTGAGTATTTGCCTTTCTGGCAGGGATAAGACTCTGGGAGGGGTGGATGATTTTTCTTCCATGGCGTGTTTCCCTCTGATTCTTTGCCAGTAAGAAATACTGTATACACTCAAAGACAGGCTAAAATAAGGAGCAGTGGTCAGACTCTAGATGCGTAATAGACCTTGCCTCTGCGCTCAGTTTTACCATACAGATCCTTTAACGGGTGCAATTGTAGCTCCAGTTATTTGGATTTATTATTGCTCTCCAATTTATCATCTTTGTCAAATTCTGGGATTCACTTTCACCCTGTTAATGCCCTGAAAAGAGAGTTCAGTTACCACTCTCATTCACCTGCGTTTTGAACATCATGATACAGATTGAGATGACTTTTGAATAACTTGTAAGGCCTGAAAAAGGGCTTTACTTGCTGCATTACAACAGTTTTCAGCTCACAGCTCTTTTTGCTGATGTTCCTGCTCTTTGACCAGCAACGGCAAGGTAGTGCCTTTAGCTAATAAAGCAATACTGCATTTTGAATGGTGCCTTTGTTTTCCCTGGAATAGTGTCAAGAAAATTCAGAGGTTTAGGTGTCAGGTGGAGATTAGAGGAAGAAAATGAAATTCAAAACAGGAAGCAGAGACAGGCTTCAGCTTATCTTCATGACATTTCTCTCCAAGCGGTGAAGAGTATTGACGGTTATTGACCTCTCGCTTGCCAGTTAATTGTAGTTCTGCAAAGCTGCTAAGGAAACATGCATTTAAGGTTACCTTTTGTGACTTTTCTAAAGCCTTTAAAAGAAAATAGAGGCTGGAGAAAACAAGCAAGCAAGCCCTCCTCACGTGTGCCTTCTACTGTTTTGTTGGACAGTTCTCCACACGTCTGTAACGCAGCTGCCTGGAAATAGGCAGTCTTTGCTCAGGAGCCACCGCAGCACACCAAAACCTCCATTGCCAGAGATGGGTGCAGATATAAGGAAGCAACTCCAAGCTTGCCCAGGTGGGTTAATGTAGTGCAGTAACAAATAGCCTTGCTGTGACTCAGGATGTGTTTGCTCAGGCACAGCACTGAATTAGTGTACCTGGGCCTTCGCTGGCTCATGCCTGGCTGACAGAGAAGGGAGGCAGAGTTCACTTGTGCTTGCCCAGTCCTGGCCGTGTAAACCTACCCATCTTTGTCCCCGGGCAGTCACATACTGAGGGGACTATCTGATCAGCAGCAGCCAGAAATAAAACAGTATTAGAGGGGACATTGTTGGCAGCTGACAAGAGCTTGTTTAGGAGGAGGGATTGTGGCCTATGTACGCTCTCCATAAGCACAGTGAAAAGCAGTGCACGTAGGAGCAAGGGAGAGCTGCTCTCCTGACAGGACAGTGACTCTTACTTTCTGATAATCTAGCTGTGGTGAGTAGGTGTGGTTGGTAGTCAGGACATTGTGGTGGAGGTATGTGGGAGCCGACCTTTAAGGCTGTGCTATGCCTGTGGAGGTATGTGGGAGCCAACCTTTAAGGCTGTGCTATGCCTTTTAATGGCTAAGATGTGGGAAGATGTATTGTATACTGATACAGTAGAGATTAAAATAGAAATACATTTTTTCATGCTTCATTTCTTGCCAATGATTACCTAATGCCAGATGCGATTTTTCCCCATCTGTATTTCTGACTTGGTTGTAGCTCCTGTTTCCAGTTTTCCCTTTTGAGAGACTCGCTATAGTTTCTCCACCAGCTCTGAGTACTTACCTTTAAAAGTGTTATTGTTCAGAATTTACTCAGGCTTCAGTTCAAAGTGGTTCTTGAGGGACTGGAATAAAATATAAAAGTGATAGGTGTCCAGGGTCACAATGAAAACCTACTTTGAAAGCTAGTAAGACAGATTTGTCTAATGGAAACTCATCTGTGTGAAACTGGCCCTGAATATTTTTCATGATAATTCAGGGATGCTTTTATTGTGAGAAAGTGCACAAAAGTTTTGAAGTGTGAGATGGTGCAACTATTGCATCATAATGCATTTAGCAAATGATCATGCTATTCCCAAAAGATTACAGAGAGAAGGAAAAAAATATATATATTCCTGAACTGGACAGTTTTGAGCATTTTGAGCCAAGGAGTAGATGCATTTTTTCTCTTTTCCCTCTGTTCAAACAAATCACTAGGGCCTTTCAGTGTTTCCACTCTTACTTTTTGAAGCTGTCGGCTCTGAAGTATAAGAGGTCAGCGCACACTCACTTGGCATGGCTTCCATGTGCTTGTCATGGTGTTTTATGCCTTTTTTTTTTTTTCTTTAAGCCATATGAAGTGCTTCCTTTAATTGCAAAATCAGAGCAATAATAGTCATTCTTATGCCAGTGACTTTTCTCTGCGCTCCCCACCCAGGTCGAGCTGTGCTTTTCAAAGTAGTTCTGGGTACAGCAGAACAGTGTGTTCAATTCCTGTATCCCCTACTGCAACTTCAGCTTCTTGTGCTGTCTTGTCTCTCAGTGCCCTCTCTACCTCCCTCAGCTCCCACACAACGTGTCCAGTACTTCTTGCCCTGTGCTGTCCCCAGGCCCCAGCTCTGGGCTGGCCAAGAGAGAGCATGCACCCTGGGTCTCGGAGCGGAGGGGTGCTGACTGGTGGGCCCGTCCGCACATGCTGATTGGCCTGATGGCAGGCTGGAAAACGCACCATTAGCTTTGAATCCCTGTGGAGGGCTACCTTGTGGTCTTCTCTACCACCAGCCTGGCATTTGTTTTGAGTTACAGAAAGAAAAGATATTTAAAGCAGCCGAAATGGCCTAAGGGTTGATTGTCACATCCAGTGTTTTGGATACAACAGAGTCAATTCATAATCTTCACGTATCAACAGCATAATTTAGCATCTCCTGCAGAGCAGTCACAGAGGGTCTGAAGTGTTTACTATAGATGGGATAGATTTAGTGATGTTTTCAAAAGCTGATTAATTTGTGTATATGGAATTGTCTGACCTGACACATTGAAAAGATTTTTCTTCTCTGCAGTTATACACGTGAAAAAAAGAAAAAAGAAAGAAAAAAGACCTACACATTCTGAATATATCAAGGCATGAAAAAATAAATTCAAGGCATCACAAATTTTATTTTAAGATAACATTAGATACCAAAGAACAAGCAATGTGACTGGAACACAGCATTTACAGGTGGACAATGCTTGAAATTTAGAAAACATACAGTATTGATTTTTAATAGTCGTTATACGCCAATCCCTGAAAAGCTGATATTGAAGATGTCACTAGATAATAAGGATCATGTCTTGGAAGGGCTGGCTTAGAGTTGCAGTTGGATTGAATTTCTTTGCTTCAAGTCAAGCTTTATATTTTTATTTTTGAATCCTGCGCTTCTGCTCTGATCCTGAGCTTCCAATGCTCAAAGCCTGCAGTTTGCAAGCTACTCTTTGCCTGAGATTAGCGGTGCCCTGCTGCTTTCCCCAGTGCTTGCTTCTGATCCAGGGCCACAACAGTCTCTCCAGCTGGATCTGGGCCATTGCAGGGGAAGCGACACTGCAGGACTGCCGTGCTGCATCCCCGTTGCGGCCTCCCCGCAGGGCACGCGCCCTGGCTGCTGCTGCTCTCGCCCCCAGGAAGGGCTTTCGTTCCTATTTGGCTGGATACTTTGAGACTCTGGAAGCCGAGACACCGATCACTAGATTAGCAGAACAGGCTGCTTACCGTTTCGAAGGAAAACTCTAAAGTGAACCGTAAAGCCTGGTTTAGTTATTTTTCTTGCTACTATTGTTTTTTACTGCTGCTGATGGCTGATTTGCCACAGCTACCTCTGCTCTTTCCTGCAGTGATCTTGGCATTTCTATTGCTTCTGTAAAAATACTTGTTTTCCAAGGAGGATGACTAAACTATTCTCCTTTCATGTTTTTTCTCCCTCTGTCTTCCTTTTCAAGACAGCAAGCCTGAAAAGCAACCACCCCACTGAAAAGAGTACAAAAGCAACCCTTAACAATCTCCCGGTCTCCTGAAACCACCCAGGCCAGGGCACTGTCTTTTCTCAGAAGCTTATGCCTTGGCGGCAGAATGTTATGAGATGAACAGTTTTGTTTTTAATGTAGACGTGCTCCCTGAAGTCAGGGTGGCTGCCCAAAGTACTGCACGTCATATTCATACAGCTGAAGTCCTGCTGAGATTGCCTTTGATTCCGTGGTTGTAAAGATTGAGCAGCAAGGGTTTGAATTGCAGTTACTTGGTATATGCCGTTATATATTTAATTAGGGCTGCCTGTGGGCTTCTGGCCTCCGTGCGACAGCAATGCAAGATCACCCCTCTAAAATATGTTATTTTGTGCAAAAGGAAATTCTATCAAGGGCTTAGGTCTCCTTGCTCCCTCTGAAGTGAGGTTTGTAGCATTACATCTCCGGCAAGTCTCGTGTGCCCTCTAGCTGTTGCAGGCTTTCGGGGGAACGGAAATGTCTTTTCGTTTTAAGTAAGCCTCTTTGAATGCTGTTTTCGCACACAACAGGCAGGTCTTGAAAACGAATTCTTGTATAGAATTCTCTTCTTGCAAAGAATAATGGCAATCAGAGGACCAGTAGAGACTGAGCAGCTAATAAACAGTGACGCTTTACAGTCGCTGTCGTCTTTGCACTGTTACTGCTGTGATGATCCAGTAGACGAAATTTGTACTTGCTGTTTGGAAAGGGTATTTATTGCTTTAAAAGTTATTTGCCTACAGTTAACATCTTTAGCTGAAGCAGGGGAGAGTGACATGTCAGAAAAGGATGATTCCTATGAAATCTTCTAAGATGGGAGGTGGAACATTCTGTGGGGTGGAGGGGTGGGGAGTGAAGAGTTTGAGACAGATTTTCTTTTTGATTTGTACAGGCCTTCTGTGAGATGTTATCTCTGCAGAGCCTGAAGTACCACCAGCCTATTGACACAGTCCGCGGGACGCTGGTGGCTCTGAATGCACTGTACTTTTGTCTGTCCCAAAGGGACCCAGCAAAGGTGGGAAAGCTGCTCCTGCTCATAGCTGCCTTGAAAATGCAGCAGTAAAAGTATGCGAGGGCATGGAGGGTAGGAGAGCACTACCTCTCATTGCTGGAGAACAGTGATGGGGCAGAGGATTTGAATGCAGCAGAGATGGGGTGTCACATACCAAAATGCTGCATGTATTTTCTCAGATATGAGAACTGGACAACCATACTGCTGTGACAGAGGAGTGCACTCAAGTCATGGGGTATGGAAGGGCCAATACATTTTGTTGGCTTTTTTAGCTTTCACTGCATATTTACATAGTTCGTTCTCTTGAGGCTGAACATCTGTGTGCTGGATTTGTTCAGCCTGCTCTTTCCTGCTACACTGTTAAACATAATTGTGTTGCATTCACTACTGCAGAGCAGCTCTCCTAGGACCCGATTCTTTTGCACCCCTCGAGACCAAACTGAGCCTGGCGTCGTGTTCTGTGAAACTTCGTACTCAGAAGCAGTCAGTTCTTGCGTCCAATAACTTTATCTCTGCATCTCATCTTGGTAGGGCATTGATCCAGTCTACACATGGGTAAGTGAAAACTCTCACTATAATTACTGGTCGTAAATTTACAGTTGCTCATCTCACTTGCCATTTGGTGATCACTAGCACTGTCCTGATTGGTGTGGCAGTACAATCCTAGCACCTACAGTATTTCCTTTGGCTGACAGCCACGGGACAGGCACCATGTACTGTGGAGGGGGGAGGGAAGGGGGATCCAGGAATCCCTCAGAGGCAGGAGAAAACTGCCGCTCCATTGGCAGTGGGCTGCGTATACAGCTTGGTTTCAGGATGACTTGGCAACGTCAGCTTCAGCAGAGCCTACTGGTTCATTTCCCCTCACAGCCAAGAACTTGGGTGACCCAGTGGGAACCCTTGTGACAGAGTGCCCTGCTGCCAGGCACGCATGAGAGCCAGAGCACTGTCACCCTGCTTGAGAGGCAAACAACGTACCAGAGTTTCACAGTAGAGGAAGGGGAAGATGTCTGCAGTCGAACGGTAAATTCCTCCATCTGTGCAAATCACATGCTCCTCGCTTGCTAGCCGACGATTGCGTGAGGAAGTGGCAGAGCTGCTGTGCTACAGGAACGGCTCTGGGTCTGCATGAGAAGCAGCATAAACAGCCCTGAGAGTCTCTTGTACTGAAAATGCATAAGCATAGCTTTCAACTGGCTAGCTGTGAACCAGCACAGCTGGCTGTGTGTTTACAGGGTGCCAAGTTAGTCAGCAGTCCTGGCTCTTTACCAGCAGCACTGGTTGCTTCTATCCCTGCGTCCAGGCCGCACGGCGCAGACGAAGAGCACTGAGGTCAGCTGCTGCTATTTCAGAGGCACTTTTGTGTTCAGTGCAACTTTGGGATTAATAATCTGACATATCTGGACCACACTTCCGTACTAGCAAGAATGCACAGCTACGACAATCCCCTGCATGTAGGAGCTGGAAGGGGAACAGCATGCCACAAGGTGCACATGCATGCCTGGTAATCACAGGGGTTAGTTCAGTAGGGTGGCAGCCCTGGAGGGGCTAGGGGCTGGGCCGTGGCCCCTCAGCTAGCCACAGCTGAGGTGGCTGGGCCCAGGTGAGGCTCATCTGTGGTGATGAGGCTGGGGCTGCTCCTGGCCCGGGGAAGGGCTGCTGCAGGGAAGCCAGCAGGTAGCCATGCGGCCTCTTGTCTTTCTGTCTTCAGGGTAGGCTGGGTGGCTGGAGAAGGGGACCTGCGGTCCCCAGCTCAGCCTGCGGGGGTTGAGCGTGTGGTGGGGAGAACGGGTTGTGTGGCTGCAGGCTGGCCAGGGCAGGAGGCCGAGGGCGGCGTTGCTGGGGAAGAGGGGCTGGGGCTGTTCACACAGCCCAGGGTGGTGTGTGAGGGGCAGGAGGGAGCTGGGCAAGAGCCGTGAGGCATCACGGGGCTCTCTGTAAGGTGGTGGCAGGGCCAGGCTGGGGAAAGTCAGCCTGGTGCTGGGCCTTCCCTCGACCTGGCAATGTGCAGCCTAGTGGGCCTGTTAGTCTGCAGGTGGCTCTTGCTCCAGCACTGCTTTGTCCTGCGGCTATTTTCTGAACTCTTTCCTTACCAAATCCCTAGAAGAAGAGCCCATGTTCCGCTTGGTCGTGTGGCACATTAAAGGCTGGGGCCTGCTTTTTTGGCACTGAAGGAAAGCTCAGATGCTAAAGTCTGTTAATTCCAGTGTTTAATTTAGGCTGGCTGGAGAGTGCTTCATGAGAGCCCGGTACCCACGAGCGACAGGGAGGAACAGTGATGGCAAGCACCGTGCTGGATGGGCCTCTCCCGCTCTGGCCTTGAAGGGCCTGACAGACAGGAGAGCATCTCTCCTCTGGTTCTTATCTCTCTGGGTTGCAGTACCCAGCCCTAATGTGTCTGCTCTGCAGAGCAGCTGTTTACTTGTCCCTACTGCTGCCAGCAGTTCAAATTGCAGTCATGCTGGGTAAAACATTTGTGTTCTTAATGCCCTAATAGAAAATACTGAGATGCTTTGAATAGTAGGAAGTATGACAGACTTTGGTAGAAGCAACTCAGTTTGCCGCCACTGAGTATAAGGCTCTAATTTTGGCTATCTCCTGGCCTGTCCTTGTGTTGCATTGTGGTGCCTCCGCGTCTCTCCTGCACTGATGCCAGGAGTCACTGCCCAGATCCAGGATAACGGCGCTGGCCAAAATGGACTTGGGGAAAGCCAGCCATCCTGTGGGAATGGTGCATGCCCCATGGAAAAGGGATTAAATGCCCATCAGACCTGCTTAATCAGCAACCCTCTTCCACTGCACAGTGGGGTAAAAAGATATTTGCAGAGGGCTGGAAACCCCAGATTTGGAGCACTGGGAGATGGCAGTGAGGCATTTTTGTCAAAGTCGGAACCCCACTCTCTAGGGTTTTAACCATGTGCTTCCTGCAGATGGGGGTAGAGGTAAGGGGCTGTCAGGGTGCCTTAATGAGAAAGAAAGGCCCTCATCTGTGTATACTCTCTTCTCAGCCCAGGTAGGCAAGAAAACCTGAAATCATAGCATTTCCAAACCTCATCACAACATCTTGCAGAGAGGTAAATGGGCTAAAAATCCCCAAGATTTTTCAAACATTATTCCTATTGAGGAAGAGGGAATCACCTCTGTTTAGCGCTGCAAAATAGCAGTCCAATATGTTGACAGAGCAACTCCTGTCTTTCCAGTACCCCACCAGCAGGGTCTTGCTTGGCTCCTGTATTTTTTGTCTTCTGCATTTTGTTGTTTTTGTTTGGTATATACCACATTAGAAAATCTATTATATTTATGTTAAGAATCTCTCCCAATTACATTTAACTACAATGTTGCATGTTTTGTTGAGGCTTACTTCAGAGGAGATGCTTTATTTCTATGAGAATTATAACACAGGACGCTGAGCTTAACAGCATCTGCATCTCCATATTTCAAAGGCTGCATGGATCTTTGCTCATATGTCTATCAAAATGACTGCGCAGGTGTTATATAAATGTATATCTGTAATATGCATACACTGTAGACCACCTCAGAATATTTAGTTATTGCTGTAAGCAGATAGAATGAACAGTAGGTGAACTGATTATTTGCAAACCTGCATTTAAAAAAACATTTAAAATTAAGTATCTAACACACGGTCTGTGAACTTACAGGAAGCTGTGCCACTGTGTGTGTTAGGTACCATGGAAACATCTCTTGATGGTAACGCGTCCATGAGCTTTTGCAGCATGACTCGGGAGGCAAGTATTTGCTACAAGGAATCCACGTTTACTAGCAGTTAATTTCTACCTTCCACAGAATCTGGAGTGAAACTACTGATTAAGAGGTTACTTAGCAATTATACTATGATAAGTTAATTACAGAGTAACAGCCCACATGGCTGCAGTTAACTTTGACTGGACTGCATCGAGCTGTAATGAGAAGAAAGATGACTTTATTTTCTGAGCAGCACAACTGAAATACTGATATTCTCCTTCAGTCTAATATGGGAGCAAGTGCCTCCCTTTCAATTTGTGTAAGTGGACTTAAATCTGGCTTATTGAGTCTCTTCTATGTCCTTTCTTCTTTCTGAAAAAAGATTTACTTCCCTCAACCCAGCTGTTACATTTGAAGCGGGAAAGGGAAGGCATTTAGAGTAAGATGTCGTAGGAATTTTAAAACTAGAGAATTTCCCAACACTTGACAGCTTATGTAGCAAGAATACTCTAAAATAATTTTTTCCATATTGATATTGGTTTATTTCACGTAATTATTAATGCTTTAGTATTAGCATCATGTTCTAAACTTGCTTATATACTGATAGAGTAAAATAAGGTTTAGGGTTTTTCTGTGTGTGTGTGTGTGTGTGTGTTCACCATGGTAACAAAACTGAACACAGGCAAGTCAAGTTCTGGCTTGTGGCGTTACTGAAGGTTTGCATTTTATGAGCTGAAAAAAAGCTTTTTCTGTTGTACTTCAGCTACAAAACTGTAGGAAAATCTTTCCTTTTTCCTTCTGAAAACAGAGCAGTAAAAATATTTGAGAAAAGGCTAATTATAAAATGTCTTGGGATGATAATATAAAAACTTAAAATCCTCCTTTAAAATGAAATACAGATACTATTTAAATTTTCCTGATGTAGAACTGGTATCATCATCCTGTAAATCTGAATAATTCAGGTTTTGACTTCTGCTTTCATTGTTTTGCGTAAAACACGACTTCATATAAATGTGTCTTCTCCAACAGGTCTCTGAGCATAGCCTGACTGATAGAAGAACTAGGACAAAATCTAGCATAGTGGATAATTTCCCCTGTTTCTAGGCAAAGCATGGGGAGGAGGAAGAGGAGGGAAGGAGGGTAGGGGACTGAGGGCGTTCTCTCCCTTTGGTAGGGATAGCACTGGCTGATTCTTATCTTTGTTATTTCTGGAAAATTCAGAGGTCACTCAGTGGATAGGAAAGTATACTAATGACAGGTGCTCACAGCAAACTTTGTGGGTTTGTTTTGGTTTCTTTGGCTACTATCACCGACATACTGCGCTTTCTCTTCAGATGTTTGACTATGGCTGACAGCTTCCTTGCTGTTCAGTTAGCAAGTATTTAGGGATGATGTGATTGCTTATATGGCCATCAACAGATATCAGTGGGAGAAATATGTCTGAAGCTATGACGCAGGGTTGCATTGAGAAAGTATCAGCTTATGTGCTGGGAACACAACTTTCTGTCAGTTGAGATTTCCGCTAAGTTGCAATTTTGGATTTGATATTCCAGAAGCAAAGGTTAAATTTGCATTGCTTAGAAACAGAGTGAATGGGAAGGAAAGGGATAGCATGTGTTTGAGTGTCCTGACACCCCCTCCCCCCGCGTTCCTCCGAGTGGTCTAGCCTCTAGTGAGATGATAAAACAGCTCCTGAGGGCAAATCGTTCATGTTTTCTTTTGTACGTCTTTACATCATTTGTTGGGGTAAGAACATCAGAAATAACCTGGAGAGTAAAGATTAGAACCCAAGAGGCCTTTTTGCCAGGCAAGTCCGTGGTTGTTTCTTAAATTTTTGTTCTAGCTCCATGAATCTTGTATTTCTTCCTTCATAGATTGGATAGCTGGGGTTAGAAAGTTACACACTAGCGTTAGGGCAGACTT